TATTGGTACTCTTTACACTCTTTAATCATGTGTTTTACTGTTTCAACTTCATTGTTGCAGAAAGGGCATTTATCAGTTTTTTCTACACCTCTTTTATATAATGTACTGTTTATAGGTCCATATCCAGTTAATAAATATACACATTCCCGGTTTGGTCTAAACCATCTGTTGTTTGTGGCAAATGCTACATCAGAGATACAATCATATATTTGTCTTCCTTTGTCATCTTGCTCCCATCTTTCCTGCCATACTCTGTCTACTTCGTGTTCAATTTTGCTGTATTCCTCTAATTCTATTTGCATGTCTTGTGGTGTGTACGAGTATTTTCCCCATGTTACGACTTGATTTTTTCTAACTTTACTTTTGATTCCTTGTTCTATTATGTATAAATCAAGTGGTTTGATACCTGCAATGGTTTGCATTGCACTTGTTGATGTTAGTCTCGTTGCCTTTGTAATCATTATTAATAAAGGTCGCTGTGCAGCTATTAGATGTCTTTTTACCATAACGTTATCCACTTTGTCAAACCATGCCAATGACGCGTAGCTTGCAATCGGCATAGCTACCATTTTGTACAATATTTTTCTTCCGTGTTGTTTTATTCCCCATTCTTCTTTCGCAATTCTTTTGATTGCCATTATTAAATTTATAATTTTACCCCTAATATATTTTGCATGATTTATAAAACTCAATTTTTCATCCAATATAACCCCAAGGTATTTAGTTTCACTTCGAAATTTAATTTTAACGTCGTTAACTTTTATAATTGGTGTTCTTGCCTTATCTAATTTGCCCTTTACGAGTAGCGCGACAGTCTTTTCAGTTGCCAGCTGTAGCTTATGCGTATTACACCACTCTATAATGGTATTGATAACTTGGTTAGCTGTTTTTTCTATACTTGCTCTAGAATCTTCTTTTATTAATATTGCGACATCATCGGCATATGCCACCGCTTCAGCCTTTAGAGCAGGAAAGCAATTTGCTATATTGTTTAGTAGCAGATCCATGCACCAATTCCAGGCATTTGGTCCTATAATAAATCCCTGTGGGCATCCTCTTTCCGTTTTTGCCATAAATTTTTCATATTTGGTATTAATATTAACTTTTCGATGTCTAAAGTATGACTTAAATACTTTTATAAGCTTTGTGCTGCAATTTCCTTTAATCAGTCTATGTATGATAGAGGGCCACCATAGATTGTCAAAAGCACCTTGGATGTCTATAAAGATTGCAACCACATATTTTTTGTCTGTATTTTTACAGCTTCTTATTAGGTGACTTATTGCGTCTTCCGTTGATTTTCTTGGTCTAAAACCATATTGGTTTGGGCTTTCAAGTTCTAATAATTTGTAGCTTGCTTCCATTCGCTCCACGATTATTCTCTCGTAAACCTTGCTCATTGTCGGTATTAATGAGATCGGTCTGTAAGAGTTTAATGTACCTTTATTTTTATTACTTTTGAGTATTACTTTAACATTAGCTATTTTCCATGCATCGGGAAATATTTCCTCTTTAAAGCAATTATTGATGAGTGTGTAAATTATTTCAGGCTTTTCCTTCCATACTTGTTTGATTATTTCCGTTGTAAAGTTGTCTACTCCGGGTGCTTTATTATTTTTGAGCCTATTTATCGCGTTATTTATTTCTTGAAATGTAATTTCATTTTCCATGTTACAGTTTTTATAGTTTTTAATGTCCTCTAATACTTGTCGATGCTTGTCGTTTTCAATTTTCTTGTCGTCTTTTGGGGCGCATTTAATTAGGATAGCATTTATCGTTTCTTTCCAGGTATTTGTATTTGTCCCATCCCCTAGTCTTAATGATGTTATTACCTCATCTCTTTTGATTTTATCTCGTACAATTTTATAAGGAATACTCCATGGATCTCTATTTGATTCAGTGGTCACAAAATTTTGCCATGTTTCATATTTTGATTTTCTAATTTTGCTACGTATTTGTTCCTAATTCTTTTGTACCTCGTTTTTGCATCTTCGAGTAGGTCCACCAAGTTTAGTTTTCTTATTTTGTTGTATCTTTTCTTTGCCTTATTTAATTTCTTTCGCATTTTGGCTAGATTGTCATTCCACCAAGGAACTGCTTTATTCGATTTTTTCTTATACGGTATAGATTTCTTGCATATTTGGTCTAGTATAGTAGAATATTTTTTGACCGCCATTTCTGGCTCATCTATTTGTAATTTATTCAACGCATCATTTGAGAATTGATTTATTAGGAGCTCCTTAAATGTTTCCCAATTGGCTTTCTTGTTGTTAGTTATTGTATTTTATAAATTTTCTGTTTGTTTTTTCGTTAATTTTAAGGTCTAAGATAACTAAATTATGGTCACTAGTAGTGCATTTTGATGAAACATTCCATCTCTCGCATATACCAAGTGTGTTCTCACTGACTAAGGTTAGGTCGATGTTTGACCATTCAAAAGTTGGTGTATCACTGGCTTCGTTTATTACGTATAATCTATTTGCAATTATAAATTCTTCCATGATTCTTCCTCGGTCATCCACTTCTTCAGAAAACCATAGATCTGATTTTGCATTGGCATCCATAGTTATGATTATCTTTTTTGAATTTAATTTATTGATTATATTTTCCATCTCAATTAGTATTGGCTCTATATTTAGTGAGAATTGGCAATAAGTATTTATAATGAAGAAGTCCTCCATCTCAGTCATAACTTGGAAGCACATTATATGAGGAGTGTCAAAGTGTGTTAAATGAAAAGCCTCTATTTTTTCATTTGCAATTATGGCAGCAACCCAGGGGTTATCTACTCCAGGTTGTATTTTAGATAGATACCCTGCAGAGTATCCGCGAACCATGCCCTTGTATGTATAAGGTTCTTGAATACACAAAATATCTATGTGTAGTTCTTTAATTAGGAGTTCTAAATTGGCAGCAGCAGCCATTGCTCTTTGTGCGTTTATTTGTGCAATTCTTAGTTCCATTCAATTTTATTATAGTATAATTCTAAATACTTTTTATATTCAGGGCATTCTTTGTGTTTTACGCTATGCTTGACCTCTTTTCTTTTACTGCGTACACAATTTATACATTGCGTCTCTTTCTGACAGTCTTTTTTAACGTGTCCTTTTTCACCACAATTCCCACAGATTTCATCTGTAACCTTGCAAATTTTTGCTATATGCCCATATCTATGGCATTTAAAACATCTTGTGATATTTATGTATTCTTTAATTCTATAAGTTCTCCATTGCATAAATATTCTTCCCTTTTCAACCAATCTTCCTAAGAATCTACCTGGTACTTGTACTATCCAGTTTACATTATTATTATTATGTGTCTTAAAACTGTGTTTCATAATAACTTTTTCTTTTAGTTCTTCTGTCTCATTTGTTTGTATTGTATCGAAGTTTTTCTCAATTAAATCTTCCTTTAAGTCTTCAGGCTTGTATTCTTTCTCCACATCGTATATTATGATAGATGGGGAGGTTTTTCTCGGTTCTTCAATTTTCAATCCCTTTTTTTTAAAATTAACTTTTTTAATTAAATCTATGTCTTGTTTGCTATTTACTTCAACTACTACTGCCTTATTCTTGATGTTTCTGATTCCTTTAACTTTCAATTTGTTTTTGATCCCTTTTAATTCATCTATTACTTGTGTCCTAATATCTTCATTTGTTCTATCGTCGTTAGTTTCTTTTTCAGGTTTAATTATTATAGCTTCATGTCTTTTGTTACTGTTTATTCTCTCTGTTTTAGGTTCAACATCATATTGCCTTCCGGAGCTTTTCGTCGAGGTTGCCTCAGCGTAAGTACTTTTTATTCTGCTACCTTGAAATATTGACTTCCATTTTTCTTTTTCAATATGTTGGAACGACTCCGTCGATCTCTGTCGAATCAATAATATATCTCCCGATTGGAGCTCATGGAATGCTCCAATTTGCGAATAATAACAAACGAGTTTTTACGCGCACCGCGATGGGTCGAGGACGCTTTCACACTCTAGGTGGATCGAGTAGCTTGGGGTAGGGGAGAGTCCTCGCATTCCATCGCGCGGCTTTGCGACCAGTCTAACGATAATTCCGCGATGAAACGGAACTGCTACCCGGCGACAATCTATCACGTTAATTTATATTCAACCAACAATAAATAATAATACGGTGAATTCAAGTGAGTGATATTGTAACCTGTTCGATTCCCTTCAAGTAACATTTCCTTCACGGAAGTCGGATTCCAACCGGCGATTTCTCGACCGGCGATTCCCCAACATATAACTGGTCCTTCGAGCCGGATTCAACGGTCGTTACGAATTCACAGTGAGTTTTAACGGATTCAATGGTGCTCGGTAAGTAACATATTTTACCGAAGTTATTACAGTGCCACCGCTCCGATCACCGCGGGTGCCGCGCAAACACGCGCCGTCGCTCCACGCCCCGCGTGTCTAGCAAGTTCGGTGCCGTCGCTCCGCACCACGCGTGTGCCACACTTACAGTGCCGTCGCTCCGATCACCGCGGGTGCCGCGCAAACACGCGCCGTCGCTCCACGCCCCGCGTGTCTCGCAAGTTCGGTGCCGTCGCTTCGCTCCACGCGTGTGCCACACTTACAGTGCCGTCGCTCCGATCTTCGCGGGTGCCGCGCATACACGCGCCTTCGCACCACGCCCCGCGTGTCTCGCAAGTTCGGTGCCGTCGCTCCGCACCACGCGTGTGCCACACTTACAGTGCCGTCGCTCCGATCACCGCGGGTGCCCCGCAAACACGCGCCGTCGCTCCACGCCCCGCGTGTCTCGCAAGTTCGGTGCCGTCGCTTCGCTCCGCGTGTGCCGACCATACACGCGCCGCGGCTCCGCGCTCCGTGTGTGTCACGCGTGCATTGACGTCGCTCTGCTGTACGCGTGTGCCGCTACGCGCGCGGCATCGAAGCTCTTCACGCGTACTGTGCATACCAACGTCGTCGATTCGCTCGCCGAGTGAGCATCGCACTCTGCGCCTGCAATTAATTGGCTGATCCGCTCTCTGAAATGGAAGCCGCAATTAAAAAACAACGGGCGACCGCGGGCTACATTGAGCGCTTCTGGGACAACTTGATCAAAGCCGGAAGGGACAAAATGACTCGTGCGTACATGACTGCTCGCCTTGAGCTCCTGGAGTCTTATTGGGTAAAATTCTTTGATGCACATGATTCCCTGGTAATATGCGACAAAATAGATCAAACGGATTATATGAAGGAGGACGTCTATGGACTAATTGAAGAGCACTATCTTTCAACGAAGTCCCGCATCATGGCTTACCTTCAGACTACTAAGTCTATGGAGACGACGTCGACAAATGCGGATGCCGGTTCCGTCCTTCGCCAGATCCAGTTACCGAAAATCAATTTGCCTACGTTCGACGGAGACCCACTGGCCTGGGAAGGGTTTCGGGATCTCTTCAAGTCTCTAGTGCATGAAGTGGACGGCCTCGCGCCAATTCAGAAGTTGCAATATCTTAAGGCTAGTCTTGCGGGAGAGGCCGCCGCAGTAGTTTCAAGCATTGAAATGTCAGCTGAAGGCTATGCCCTGGCGTGGGACGAACTGGTCTCGCGTTTTGATAATCGAAGAATGCTCTTAACGACTCACATGCGAGAGCTCCTACTTAGCGCGCCAATTGTCAAACAGTCCTCCCAAGAGATCAATAGATTGATCAGCACGGCGAACCAGTCATCACGCTCTTTCCGGGCCCTGGGAAGACCGGTGGAACATTGGGATGACTGGTTTGTTCACATTATAGTCGGCAAATTAGATTCATCAACGCGCCTCCTGTGGGAATCGTCACAGGAGTCGAGTTCGGACTTTCCATCCTTCACCGAGCTGAAAACCTTTCTCCTTACCCGAGCTCGCGCTCTGGAAGCGGCTCACCCGCGTTCAACAGCGATAACAAGCGAAACAAAGGGAGGCAAGCGCAACAGACGAAAAACCGATGTATCGTCACATTCCTCCAGCACTAGAGAGGGATCTCAGTGTCCACTCTGCAAGGCACGCCATCCGCTCCGATCGTGTGACAAGTTTAAAACCTTCTCCGTAGAACAACGTCGAGAACAAGCGAGGAGGAATAAAGCCTGCTTTAACTGCCTAGGCCACAACCACGCAGCAGCGGCCTGTCCGTCTATCAACCGATGCCGGCACTGCCGGGAGAAGCATCACTCACTCCTGCACATCGGGGTAATACAATCAGCCGCTCCAACGATACCTCAAGACTCAAATGCGGCCATCACCTCATTAGAAAAGTCCGTACATCAAGCTGATGCGACGGCAGTATCCGCATTGTCAAGCACTACGAATAACACGGTTCTTCTTGCGACCGCCATGATAAAACTGATCTCGTATTCGGGTCGTACGGTTAAGGTGCGAGCATTGTTAGATTCCGGGTCTGAAGCCTCGTTTGTCTCAGAACGCGTCGCCCAACAGCTCCAACTACGCCGCCGGAGAGTGAACGTGACTGTCTCCGGCCTGCAGGGGGTAACAACAGGGAGAGTGACTCATGCCGTATCTCTCATGATCGGAAGCGAACTGTCCTCGACCCTACGAATCGCTATACCTACTGCTTTAGTCATGTCCAAACTTACTCCATTTACTCCTGGCAAACAGGTTCACAAGGGGCATTGGCCTCACCTATGTGGCATCCAGCTGGCAGACCCAAACTACGACAAACCAGCCTCGGTAGACGCGGTGCTCGGAGCCGACGTTTACGGAATGCTAATCGAGAGTGGAGTTAAACACGGACAACCCGGAGAGCCGTATGCTCACTCTACCGTCTTTGGCTGGATATTGATGGGCGCAATTGGACATACGAACTATCCTCCCGGAATTGACATCGCAAGTCACCATGTAACCCTTGAACAGGATCTACGACACCAACTACAGCGGTTTTGGGAGCTAGAAGAGGTGTCTGGGGATTGCCCACTCACCCCGGACGAAGCTTATTGTGAGAGGCTGTTCGCAACGACCCACACTCGTGACACAGATGGACGTTATGTCGTTCGCCTACCCCGTAAGCAAGAACCCGCGTTAGAACTCGGAGATTTAAGGTGCGGAGCACTGCGTTTACTCTTAGCAGCCGAGAGTCGACTACGGAGAAACCCTTCGCTCTACCAGTCATACGTCGAGTTCTTGAACGATTATTCTGAACTCGGTCACATGGAACCGGTGCCAGAAGCAGAAATTAAGGGCAACGGTTCATACTACCTGCCACATCATGCAGTGGTTAAGACAGCTGATCCAAGCGGAAAAATCCGGGTAGTTTTTAACGCCTCTTTTCGAACGAGCACAGGAGCATCTCTGAATGATCTCCTGCTGCCCGGCCCAAAACTTCAAGCGGAACTTTGGTTAATACTAACAAGATGGCGGTTATTTCAAGTTGCCTTCACCACGGACATTGTCAAAATGTTTAGACAAGTTCGGATTAGTCGAGAGGATGCCGATCTTCAGAGGATAGTATGGCGGGCGGACGCCGAGTCAGAGGTTCGAGACTTTAGACTCGTCACCGTCACCTACGGTACGACACCGGCTCCGTATTTGGCAATCAGAACCTTGCTCCAATTGGCTGAAGATGAAGAGTCCCGGTTCCCTCAAGGAGCATCAGCAATCCGCAACCACACTTACGTAGATGACATACTAGCTGGCGCCAACACTCTTGCAGACGTCCTGGAACTTAAACTTCAACTGGAAGGCCTACTCCAAGCAGGAGGGCTCCATCTAAGTAAATGGGCCGCTACTCAAGCAACGCTTTGTCCTGATGGGGATCAGGGGCAACGATTTATTGCAACTAACGACAACGTGGGTGCCCTAGGCATCCTTTGGACCCCTACCAAGGACACACTTGGCCTAAAAGCGGTCCCGTCATTTGATGTGACGACACAACCAACAAAACGCTCCATACTTTTTTTCGTGGCTAAGCTATTTGATCCCGCAGGCTGGGCGGCTCCTGTAATAGTAGCAGCCAAAATATTAATACAAGATCTCTGGATGGCGGGTTTAAACTGGGACCAAGAATTGCCCCCGGAGTTACAGACTCGTTGGTTGAAATACATTACCAGCTTACCTGAACTGAATCTATTACAGATACCTCGGTGGACCGGTATTCGCACGCCAATGGAACTTCATGCCTTCTCAGACGCCTCTGAAAGAACCTATGCCGCTGCGATTTACCTGCGAGGACTCGGGTCGCACGGGGACATTGAAGTGTCTCTCCTGCTTGCTAAGACCAAGATCACTCCGATTAAGGGGTTAGGCCACTGTAGAAATTTCAAAAAATCGTTTTTTTTTTTTGCTTAAATGATGCTTTAAGATCTTAGAAATAAGAAAAAAAAGGTTTTATAACGGAAACAAATTCCTAAGTGTCATTTTTGGAAGTTCAAAGCATCTTACCTTTTGGTAAGATTTGAAGCGTTTGCGAAGGGATCCTTCTGAGAATAATAAACGGATTAGTTACGCACAGTTCAGCTTGAGTAAGATTTTCTTAGGTTCCTAGTGAAGGACCAGGAGGAGAAGAACATTAATGAGGAAGGTCAATTATATGGTGCAGGCATCGCAGATTAAAGGTAAACGAAAAATTTCTATCGCTGATTGTTACATAAAACTTTAAACGCGTTTTCTCGAAATCACTTTTTTTAAACTGGGCGACCTCATAACTCCCACAAATCTTGACCGATTTACTTCAAATTTAAACTGTAGCTTCTAAGATACATTTGTCAGCGAACTACGTACGGATTTTACGTTTCGTTGTAAACTTTTTTTTTACAAACAATTTTGTGCAAAATTTTTCGTCAAAAAATGAAACTTTTTCTTCAAACTTGTGTCATTTTTACAAAAACAATTATTTTTAATTTCCGTACGTAGTTCGCTAGCTAATGATATAAAGAATTAAAAAAAATTTGGTTTTTTGTTCTAGAGCAAAAATTGGAGCAGCTAGTAGGTCGCCCGTAAGGCACTGTCCGAAACGAGTGGTCATCGTTGCATAGCTCTGTCACCGCCATTTTGTAAAAAAAAATGCAAAAAAATTTTTTTTATATATTTCGAAGTATGTAAGATTAAGTACTTAAAAAGGATTTTCTATCACTGTTTTTGTTTTATAGTAAAAAATTATCAAAAATAGGCCTTTTTGGGCGCTCTACAGTGGCCTAACCCCTTAAACCTGTCTCCATACCTAGACTTGAGTTGTGCGGTGCTCTACTAGCCGCCCGGCTACTGTGTCGGCTCACTAAACATCTGAAATTGGAGAGCTGCCCCCTATACGCATGGACTCACGCAAGGGTGGTACTTGCATGGCTACGAGCACATCCCTCACGTTGGACACCTTTCGTAGCCAACCGGGTGGCTGCCATACAAGAATTAATGCCGGGGAATCATTGGCACTATGTTGCTACGTCAGAAAACCCTGCAGATCTAGCTACACGGGGCATCTCGCCATCGGAGCTGAGAGACCGACGCCTTTGGTGGTCGGGACCCCCATGGTTGGGATCCCCGTCAAGTGACTGGCCAAGTGAAAGTGATGCTCAACAGGAAGTAAGCGAGGAGCGGCGCTCACACGCTACCACTCTTACTACTGACAAAATCGACAATGATGTCCTTACACGATTCTCATCATTTTCTAAATTAATTAGAGTTTCAGCATACTGCCTCAGGCTGCTACGAGACGCTGAACGACCCCACGCCCTTCATCTCACTGCAGATGAACTGGCACGCTGTCGATTGCGCTGGTTTCGCATCGGTCAGCTCCAGGACTTTGCGGAGGAGATCAAGGACCTCTCCCGCGGCTCCCAGCTGGCCCGTCGATCCCCACTACTGTCGCTACGGCCCTTCCAAGGACAGGATGGGCTGATAAGAGTAGGCGGCAGACTTGCTCACGCACCGTTGGCCTTTGCCGAAAAGCACCCGATTGTTCTCGCCAAAGAGAACCATCTTTCGTTACTCCTCGTGCGCGATGCACACAAAAGAACCCTCCACGGCGGTCCGCAGCTCACGAGGAGCGTGCTCTTTCGCCGTTACTGGATTTTGCAAGCCAACTCGCTAATTAGATCCGTTGTAAAACATAGTGTAAAATGTGCTCGTTTCAGGGGAACCACTTCTCAACAACAGATGGGCCAACTACCAGCGGATCGAGTCAGACCGGCCCGACCGTTCTGGACCACTGGCGTGGATTACGCTGGACCCATCAAGCTTCGAATTTCCAAGGGCCGCGGATGCAAAGGCTACAAAGGATATATCTGCCTATTCATTTGCATGGTCACCAGAGCCGTGCATTTGGAAGCCGTATCGGATCTCACATCTAGCTCATTCCTGGCCGCTTTTAGGCGTTTTGTGGCAAGGAGAGGCCGTTGTGCGTACCTGACTAGCGACAACGGTACCAATTTCCGAGGGGCCGAGCGAGAGTTGCGGGACCTATTCAACGCCGCTGCCGATTTTTACAAGGATTGTAAAGCCCAGCTGGCTCAAGACAGCACGGAATGGGTTTTTATTCCTCCCTCTGCCCCGCACTTCGGCGGACTCTGGGAGGCAGGCGTCAAGGCCACTAAGTACCATCTCCGACGCGTCTTAGGAGATCAAATACTTACCTACGAGGAATTGTCCACATTACTTTGTCAAATCGAGGCGTGCCTCAATTCGAGACCGCTCTATCCGTTAAGCAATGATCCAAACGATTATACTGCGATCACCCCTGGGAACTTCCTTATAGGAGAAAGCCCAGTCAATGTACCGGAACCGCCCACCCTGACGGATACCCATGGGAGGGCTAACTCTAGGTCTATTTTGATTACTAATCTACGTGATCATTTTTGGAACAGGTGGTCGCGAGAATACCTTCACCATCTACAACAATTGGGTAAATGGCGGCAACGCTCGGAAAATCTACAGCCAGGCGCCCTGGTTCTCATCAAGGACGACCTCTTGCCACCAGCCAAATGGTCCTTGGGACGGATCAGCGAGGTTCACCCCGGGGACGACGGAATTGTACGCGTGGTCACGGTGGAGACGTCAACTTCAGCTCTCCGCCGCCCTATCACCAAGATCTGCCCACTTCCCATCAAACCTGCAGACCTGACCGCGAACCACTCAGGAGAGCAACCTAATTAAGATATCTAAAACCCAGACATCTCACGGCGGGCGGCGGGTCTCGGACCAGCACCTCCTTGTTTCGTCTTAAAGACGAGGCGGGCGGGATGTTGGAACGACTCCGTCGATCTCTGTCGAATCAATAATATATCTCCCGATTGGAGCTCATGGAATGCTCCGATTTGCGAATAATAACAAACGAGTTTTTACGCGCACCGCGATGGGTCGAGGACGCTTTCACACTCTAGGTGGATCGAGTAGCTTGGGGTAGGGGAGAGTCCTCGCATTCCATCGCGCGGCTTTGCGACCAGTCTAACGATAATTCCGCGATGAAACGGAACTGCTACCCGGCGACAATCTATCACGTTAATTTATATTCAACCAACAATAAATAATAATACGGTGAATTCAAGTGAGTGATATTGTAACCTGTTCGATTCCCTTCAAGTAACATTTCCTTCACGGAAGTAGGATTCCAACCGGCGATTTCTCGACCGGCGATTCCCCAACAAATTTTTCTTTTCTTCATTAAACTTATTTTCTAGTACGGTGTAGGATGGGTGGGCCCCCCCACCACGGCAAGGTGGTGATCCACGGGGGGGAGTAGATAGAGACAGTTATTGTGAGAGCTGTTGCCACGAAAGCAACAGACTCCGGCTACCTCGCCCCTACGGGCATACGCCACAACTGCTACCCACCGTCCCACGAAACCGCCCCGAGAACGGCAATAGAAAAATCCAGCAGCGCCTGCGGGCGTACGCAGGATGGACAGTTTAGCCGCGACGAGCGAGCCCTCCTGCTCCTCCAACCAATTTACCTCCTAGGGACCGCACTTACGCCGTTGGACACGGTATGCGTGTTAGGCTGGTACGGTCCCGCATCTCGCCCGCCGCGCCCACGGGGACCACGGGGAGGCCTGTCCATTTGTGTCCCGACCTGGACACACGCTCTAACCCTGTTGGGTGGAAGTCTTTGGAAGGGAGGGGAGGATGACTTTATTTTAGAGGAGGGACCTGCCTAATTTCGAGCTGACTTATCGGTTACGTGAGGAACCGCCCGGAGAGAGCAGTTGTCTCGAGAGGGTTACGAGGCTGCCTCCCACTACTAGAGCCCCCGACAAGCTCCAGTTAGGTACTTCCTTGAAGACGCGTTTATTATTCAGCTCTCGAATCCCTTCAGCCAAAGGGTCTCTCGACAGTAATCGACGAAGACGGCGAAAACCTCTGGATCTGACACGAGGAACTGGGCCACCTCCGGCCATCGCCACTTCTCGATTGGAACCAACTCACGCAAAGCGACTCTTTGCGCTTCAAGGCCCGTACACTCCAGCAGGAAGTGCTGGATCGTGTCCTCTCGACCATCGTAGACACATGCGGCACCGTCCACAAGCCCTAAACTAGTAAGACGTGCTCGGAAGTTTCCGTGTCCGGTGAGAACCTGCGTGACCCAGTGGTCGGTTTGGAATAATTTCATGGCCATTCTGAGCCATATTGTGTCGAAGAAGGCGAACGTGGTACGACCCTTGTTTGACGAGTTCCACATTGTCTGCCACATGTTTATCGCCTCGTCCTGGATTTGCCCTAACGCTACTTTTTTCTCGGTTCCCGCGGGTATTTCTATGTTTCCGATTTTCGCGTCTTGTCCCTTACGGACTCTATATCGCGTCGCATACTTCTCTATCAATATCTCCGCGGGCATCGCTCCGGCAACGACGCACAACGACTCGAAGGACGCGGTTCTATATGCCTTTACTACAGAAATGAGGGCTTTCCTCTGGGCGGATCTAAGGACTCGGATGTCCTGCTTGGTGCATAGGTCCCACCAACCTGCCGCGGCGTATGTAATTTTCGGTACGATCACTCCCTGATAAATTGTTCTTAGCGTCGCGTGACTCAATCCCCATTGCGCTCTCGCCAAACGCCCGAATTTCCGGAATAGTAGCTCGACGCTGCTACTTATCTTTCGGCAGTGCGTGTGCACCTCGAGTCCACCGTCGAAGTGGACCCCCAGGTATCTTACCGCGCCTTTAAACTTTATACTCGCGTTATTAATCCTAATGGTTGGTGGCCTGCTAACGAAGTCTGCGGTTTTCCTATTTCGTTTACGCTTCCTATCCGGTCGATCTCCTCCCCGGCTCCCGATTGGATTCCGTTGTACCGCTTCGTTTTTAAGGACGATGGCTTCGGTCTTTTGTTCCGAGACCTGGAGTTTCGCGAACTCGCACCATTTTGTTATTAGGTTCGCCGCGCGTTGACCTTCTACCTCTATCTCTCTACGCGAGTTTCCGCTTATTACGACGGCGAGATCATCCGCGTATGCCACGAATTCTATTTTTTCTGCTTCCAGCCGTCGCAGAAGACCGTCAAACATTAGGTTCCAGCAGACCGGACCGAGGACGGAGCCCTGCGGGCACCCCCTCGACGCCCGCTTGGAGACCTCTACCGAACCTATCGCGAGCTTTACTATTCGATTGTTGAAGTAACTTCGGATTACTTCGAATACGTTTCGCGGGCAGTCCCGGGACTTTAGCGCGTCTAAGACCAAAAGCCACCAGACGTTGTCGAACGCACCCGATGTGTCGAAAAGTAACGCGACGGCGTATCTACCCTCAGAGATCCTTACCAATCTTCGCAACTCGACTATCGCGTCCTCCGTCGATTTTCCCGCGAGAAGCCGAACTGTCGATCCGAAATTCTACCCGGCGCCAGCGACGCTCCCGTTAGGCGCTCCTTAATTAATTTTTCGAAAAGTTTACCTACCACAGAGAGGAGACAAATTGGTCTATAGGATTTCGGTTCCCTTTCGTCCTTGTCCTCTCCCTTCAGCAAGGCCCGCAACGAGCCAATCTTCCAGGCGGAGGGAAAGACGCCCCACTCTAAACACCCGTTAAACAGTTTAGTGATCTGGCCGGGGATCACTTTCAACGCTGCTTTTAATACGCTAACTTCCACGAGGTCGGTTCCCGGCGCTTTATTGTTTTTGAGAGTCTTCGCTACTCTTATCGTTTCTACCACCGTGAAATGGGAGGCGTCCGGTGTCTCAGGTGGCGTGTACGCGTTAGCCCGTAATACGCTTTGTTCCGGTGTATCGCTCGCAACTCGGTCATCGGGGACGTGTACTTTAAGAAGACAGTTGGCTGTTTCCTCTAGAGTCATGGTTGAAGATTCGCCATGCCTGAGTGTGCTGAGCACTCTTTCTACTCGGAGTTTCTCCGCTTGTTGCTTATAAACGAAGCCTCAAGATTCTAAATTTCCATGAGATGTTACGAATTCCCGCCAACTATCGATCTTTGCCCTTTTTATATTTCTGCCATACAGCCGCAAAGAAGAGCGGTACTCCGACAGTTTTTCCACGTATGAGGGCTGGCCATGTTCCTTCTGCAGGCCACGTCTCAACCTGTATAGCCTTTTCTTGAAGATTGTTAGCTCCCTAGTCCACCACGGGTTGGACTTCCTAAAATGCCTTTTTCTTGGCATTGAGGCCTTGCATGCCTCGCTAAGAACAACTGCGAGCTTTTCGGCCATTTCCTCTACTTCCTCCGCCGACCTCAACTCGAGCGCCTCCAGCATGGACCCTGAAAGATCAGCGAGAGTCCCGGAAAACCGTTCCCAGTCGGCCCGACGGGTGTCGAACCTCATGTTCGCGACACCCCCGGCGTCCCGCCCCTTCGGCACTCTGAGCCTGATGTCGATGGAGTTGTGGTCGCTGGTTGTCCAATTGTCCCGTACCTTCCATTCCCTGATGAACCGGGTCATGGAGGGCGACGCCAAGGTCACATCGATATATGATGAACCTCTTGCCGTCCAAAAGGTGGGTTTCTGGCCAGCATCGTTGACCACCTCTATACCAGATGCCCGGATGAGGTCTTCGACTTTCGCACCTCTTTCGTCCGCCTCCTGGGGACCCCACAGCGGCGATCGGGCATTGGCATCTATCGCAACTATCAATCTCTTCCCCCTCAGCGAATGAAACACCATTTCGAGGTGCCTGAGGTGCTTCTCTATTTCTTCGCAGTACTGAAAGTAGCACGAAGCCACATAGAAGGAGAAGCCAGGTGCTTGCACTTCTGCACAGACACAATGAGCTGTGCTAAGCTGCGAGATAAACAACAGCTGGAATTGAGAGTTACAGGCTGCCACCGCTGCCCACGGGCGCTGTGAACGCACGGCGGCCACTCTCATTCCTAATCCTAACCCAACTAAGGTGTGACTCGAGTCCCGCTTCCTGACGCATGGCTCCTGCAATAACAGGACGTCAAGCCGCTTTTCGACGACGAGCTGACGCATCTCTCCCGTGACTTTTGCCGAACGTCTCATGTTCAGCTGCAGGACTCTCACTCCCGTGGTCGCCAGTGAGAAATTTTCAGACGAAGTAGGAGTAAAAGGGGAGCTTGCCGCGCTTTGTTGCGGCCCGGCTCGATCCGGTTTATTATGGGTGTGGGGTTGGGGTTTTGGGGAGTTCGCGGAGCTAATTTCATCGTTGTTTACGGCGGCGCAAGTCGCGGAGCTATTCGCGGAGCTAATCGCGGTGCTAATCCTAATTCTGTTTTCGCGATTTTTCCTTGCTTCGACGCTCGGTCCCAGCCGACTATCGGACGCCGGCGTGGGCCCGCCCACGGTCGCGTCGCATCTAGCTAGCACAACTCGGACGGCACGAAGGCCGCTACCACTAAGTGCTTCCTGGGCTGCTGCCCTACCCGGCAGGAAGCATTTTATCAGGCGGGCACTTCTCCTAACCAAAGGTTTTATCATTTCCATTTATATTCCCACGAGTACGGTGGAAAGGAGGGTCAAGCGACGCAGAGCCACCACTACGCCACCAAGCCTAAATACACCGGGAGGGCGGCAGATATCCCGGGCGGACCGTTAGCGACCGCGATCTTACCGTCCACGCGGCCATTCATGCCCTCGGCACGGTACCTAACACCTTAACATTAAGACGAGCGCCATTGTTAGGAAACGCCTACCTATTCATCGGCATTCCACCCGAGGCAGACGAACGAACGAGACAAAGTAAAACGA